GCGCCTACGTTAAAGCATGTTGTGAATATGCTTGGCACTCATAGGAAGTGGGAATTGACATTACGATTAGGGACAACGATACAAATAAAGTAGGGAGCCGCCAACAAGTTTTTAAGGAACTTGTAAACCGTTCACGGATCATAAAACGGCAACCACAATAAAGGGACAACGAAGGCAACAACGATTGACCCGTGAAGGTTACACCCCATTCATAATCCATGAGATTACTAACTCCATATGGTTCGGAACCACGAAAGGAGGATCGGGGATGATGGTACGAAGTGAGTCATGGAGTCACATTCACCAGTATTGGCCTTTACTCGATTCTTATAGTGAAAAATGATTCCTGCGATCTCAATGGCATACAAACAAAATATTCAATTCGCTCCAAACTATTATTTAGCTAAATTGGTTGAATATTAATGCAACATATTATTCTAAAATATCGTGATCACTTGAATTAATAAATAAGATTAAAAAGGAACCTAAACCGGTTGTCCAAATTATCTTATTAGGCGTGATTTTCAATTACCTATTCCCTTTAAACATGCAATATGGTGATCAATAAAAAATAAACATTAATATTGGAAGCAATTTAACAATAATAATGTGAGTCAAATCAAATATAAAATAACCTAATCATGATACTAGCAATATAAAAATAAAATAAGAGTAATTAAATTAATTAATTACTCACATTCCGCGTGTTCCTTTAATTTGCTACATCATGAATAAACTGTTAGTAACTTCAATAAAAATATAAAGTAAATGGAAATTAAATTAAATTAAAAGTAGAGTTGATTTGGTCCAAACCCTCAATTATTTGTACCTTTCACGCCTTGGTTTAAGGACGGAACCTCGGGTTAAGTATAGACTCCTTGGAGTGCTTAAGGGAAGTGTTATGGAAGAATAAGGAGGCTAGAAATTAGGTTAAGGAGGGGAGAAGAGAATGATTTTTGGTGTAAGGTGAGAGAGAATGATTATTGCTGCCCCGAACTGCAGAAAGGGAGGACCTATTTATAGGGAAAATGAGCAGAGGAAACACGCGGAACCCTAAAAAGATAAAAACCCTAAAAATAATACCGTGTCACGGAAAAAGAGCACCGTGACACGGTGACAGACACCGTCAGACGGGGGAAGATCCCATGACACGGGGAAAAACCGAGTGACACGGGAAATAATTAGGTTACAGGAAGTGAAAACGCGTTTAGGGATCACAGAGCAATCCCGTGGCACGGGATGTGCACCGTGACACGGGAAGAAATGCCGTGACACGGCATTTTCCACTGTGGCACAGTGCAGTATGCCGTGTCACGGTGTAAAAAGTACGCGGAAATTACACGGAATATCCCCGTGTCACGGAATGGACACCGTGACACGGGAAATTGCACCATGACACGGTGCAAAATCCCGTGACACGGGAGAAAATTGTGCAGAAATACTAAAATGGGCACCGTGTCACAGGAATCAGCCCCGTGACACGTCAGCTTCTACCGCGTCGCGGCATTTTTTGCTGCTGCGCGGTAATTTCAGTTTTTTACCCGTTTTAAAAATAATCATAACTTTTGATCCGTTACTCGGAATAAGGCATATAATATATCATTGGAAACTTATCAAGTCTAATTTCCATCCCATTTAGAATCAAGTCAAAATGATATGTAGATTTTAAGATATGGTCATTTTAGTGGAAGGGTGTTGGTTTTAGGCCGAGTTTAGTGTTTTGCTCATATCTTTTTCGTTATCGCTCGGAATTGGGCTTATGATATATGGTTGGAAAGCTTATTTAAAGGCCTATCCAACAAAATAATAATTGGATCAAAATTGTATATCCATAAAATCAGTTTCTCTCAGTTTTGCGATGTGGACACGAAAAGTGGAAAATAGGTTATTGTTTAGGGAAATGAGCTAGAAATTGGATTGGTTCATGAAATATATTGGGTAGAACATGGATTTAAGTAATCCAAAGATTAAATACTTAACTCGACCAATAATGGCGATGAAAGGTGTTCATCAAAGGGTTTGGTTTTGGGGAGACATTTTTAGGTGTCTATAGCCTCTACTTTATTCTGATCGTATTCATGTGCGCTTTCTGACTAACATGCAATCAATAGGATTAACCCTAAACCTGTTTATCTATGTTGGTTGAATATTAATGCACAAATAAAACTATTATTGGCGATCACTTGAATTATAATCAAATTAACCCTAAACAAGATTATTAATTGTCTTATTAAGCGTGATTACAAGTACAAATTTCCTTTAAACATGCAATTAAAAGGCGTGATCAAGCAATAACAATAAATATCAAGCAACATAATAAATAATCATCATAATAATACATGATCATAAATAATAACAATTATAATCATAATTAAAATAATAAAATTAATTATAATTAACATAATCATGTTAAAGCATAATAATAAGGAAAATTGTAAACTAATAATCCCACCTTTAGTGAGTCTTCTATAAACAATCCCACCTTTTGAAATTCCATAAACAATCCCACCTTTGGTAGGGATCTTCCATTAACGATCCCTTTGACCTATAACCTGTTAAGCAGGTTAATTTTTTTTAAATTTTTTTCAAAGTCACATGTGACTTGATGATTGGACAAAATAATAAAAGTTAACCAAAAAAAAAGGGTAAAAAAAATAAAAATAAAAAGCAAAAAGAACCCCACCAGCCACCCCCACAGCCACCAGCCACCCCCAACCACCGAGAAACACCTACCCCATACCCTAGGCCCAACTAAAAACGGCCGAAAAACACTACCCAGCCGCCGAAAACCCTTATGATCGCCGAATACCGCCATCCCAGCCCCGATAAACCCCTACAACTGTCGAAAAAACCAACGAAAACACCCCATCCCAGCCCCGATTAACCCTTAAAAAAAAACCATCAACCACCAGCCACCCCCCATCGTGAATCCCTAACCCTTACCGTAGCCCTACCAAAAACCGGACGAATCCAACCCTAAACCCCCCAAAAACGGTCGGCCGAAACCGTCAAATACCAAAATCCACTTTTTCGATCAAAAGCCACCCTCGAAACCACCCTGGACCCAAATCCCACTCCCGAAATCAACTTAACCACAATAGTCACCACCCTAAAAACCCCACCTAGCCGCCGAAAAACCCCTCTCAGCCCCCGAAAACCCCACCCAACCTCCTTAATCATCCCGAATGTCCCCATCTAAGCCTCGAAAAGGCCGCTTAAAATACCTTTAAAACTTGACCCCACTGCGCAAAATCCACCGTTTACGTGGTGGGTAGGTGTCGACCGACCGTTTCAGAGGCTAAGGAGGGCGGTCATTCGGTGTTTGGTGGTGGCTAGGGTAGAGGCTGGAGTGTCACGGTGGCTAGGGTTTTTAGTTGGTGGCAGGGGTGTTTTTTTTTAAAAAAATTTTGTTTTCTATATTTTTTTTTGGCTTTTTATTTTAATTATTCAAAAAATAAAATGAACCTATAAAAAATTGACACATGGCATATAACCTAAGAAATCCGGTTACTAAAATAACCAAATCGGTCAGGGATTGTTAATGGAAGATCCCTACCATAGGTGGGATTATTTCTGGAATTTCGAAAGGTGGGATTGTTTATGGAAGACGCACTAAAGGTGGGATTATTAGTTTACAATTTTCCTAATAATAATAGCAAGATCCTAGGCATGATACTAACAAGATTGATAACAAACCCTAGTGTTGTGCTAGAATTTTCACCCTAAATTCCTATGATCTACAGGTAGACAGGTTACAGGTTGCAGATTAGCAGCGTACAGGTCGAAGGTAGCTGCCAAGTCAAGACCAGATGGCAGAGCATATACTCAAAGAATATTCCAAGGAATCTTCGTGTAGGGGAAGGTATAAAATGTTATCCAAAGAAATCGAGACCACTACTAGCAGTCAAGCCGTTGAGAAAGACTAATTCAAACGTGGGAGTACCAGATCTGGAGACGTGGAGAGAAAGTAGGAACAGCTTGAGACATTAGCTCCGGATTCCTAGGGATCGTGGGAAATAGTCGTTGAAGATCTTTTGAGTGCTTTTCTAGTATAAATAGGCAAGCCTAATCATCAGGCAGGATATCAACAAATACATTAGCCTTACTATTAAGCATTATCGTAGAGAACAGTTACTTTTATTACTCATTCTATAATTTGTAATCCGTATTGTAACCTGTTTCACCTAAACACCTAGTGGATTGGTGGACTCATAGCCACCCGCAGTTTTTACCCTTATTCTTGGGGTTTTCTGCGTCATCATTCTTTGTGTCTTCTCCTCTTCTTTCTCTTTTTCTCCTCCATTAATTCCTGTTAACATATTTCGCCATCTTAATCTAGCTGTAATTATCGCAACCTAGGTCGAACCTGGTAGTCAGTTTTTTGACCAAAACAGTTTGGCGCCGTCTGTGGGGATACAGTTAGATAATTCGGCCCATCTTTCACAATGGGAGAAGATCCTGATCCAAACGCAAATGCATTAATCGAGCAACTGCGAGAAGAGCTGAAAGCCTCCATAGAGGGGAGCCAGAAGCTCAAAGAAGAATCTCAAGCAACTTTAGCAAGACTCAAAGCTGAATCTGAAGCATCCTTGGAAAATCTATCCAAAGAGCTGGAATCTATCAGGAGCAACAAGAAGAAAAGCGTTAAGATCGATGACATACCCAAGTTCACCCTGGTCTCCTTTGATGAATCTGAAGGCGAAGACGCGGGAGAAGGATCTCGCGATGGTGAGGAACAATCTGGTGGGAATCCCAACCCTATGGCCAGGGAAGTCGCCGTTATTAAAGCCCAAAACCGGAAGATGATGAAACTCCTGACCCGCTTACCAGGTGCTCCTAAACCTGTAGCTTATGAATCTCGTGATGGGTTCGCTGAATCCCCATTTGTAGAGGAGACTGCTAAAGTACATATTCCCGCAAAGCTAAGCATCCCCTCCTTCCAAAAAATGTACGACGGAACCACTGATCCCCAAGATCATGTGGCCTAGTACAAGCAAAAAATGTGGCAATTGTCAATTCCGTGGGAACTAATTGAGCCCACTATGTGTAAGTCCTTTGGCGCTACTCTATCAGGACCTGCACTTCAGTGGCTTATCAATCTCAAGCCAGGTACCATCACCAGCTTCTCCAGCTTGGTGAACAAATTCTATCATCAATTCGCCACCAGCCGAGAGCTGGATAAGCAGAGCAGTGACCTGTATCGGATCGTTCAGAAGCAGAACGAGACAACCCGGCAGTACTGGGACAGGTTCAATCGAGAAATGGTCAGCGTCAAAAATTGTGACCACTCAACTGCTATCGAAGCCTTTCGCAAAGGTCTTAATTACAGATCCAGGTTGTATTATGAGCTGACAAGATATCCTTGCTCTTCATTTGAAGAAGTTAGAACCAGAGCAATGGCTGAAGTCCGCGTAGAAGAAGATGAGCATGCCAGGAACTTGGTCGAAAGGAGACCGTCGGGATACCCGGGGAATCAATCTTCTAACAATAAAAACTCTGGCACCCGACAAAGTAGCTGGCAGCCAAGGCGCAGCAACGTCAACAGCATATCCGAGCCAAAAGCAGGTGAAAGCTCCAGCTGGCCAGCTATAGAGTACCATCTAGATATCAGCTCTTATGGCTTCGATACCGATATAGTAGGAGTGGTAAACGCTCTCAAAGATATTGGGCAACCGGTAAGGTGGCCTAGGAAGAGCGACAAACCCGACCACCAGAAGGATAAATCAAGGTGGTGTGAATACCATGGAGACCATGGGCATAGGACTAACGAGTGTAACAGTCTTAAAAGAGAAGTAGCCTGGCTGCTTAAGAGAGGCTATCTGAAAGACCTCCTTGGAAAAAAGGGAAAAGGGCCTGAAATCAAGCGGGAAGCACTGCCAGGTCCGCCAGCTTCGCCTACCCCAGGCGTTGTGATTCAAGCAATATCAGGAGGATCTAGCATCAGCGGTCTGACCAACTCCAATGCAAAGCGTATAGCAAGAGTTGGAACCTCCGCATCCAGCATCCCCCAAACCTATCCAAGCAGTGAAGAAAAGAAGCTGGATGATATGGCAATACTATTCGATGAGAGTAGGATTAATGAGCCCGAGCATCATGATTTCTTGGTAATCTCCCTCCATGTGGGTCATTGCAAGATGAAGAGAGTACTAGTAGATAATGGAAGCTCGGCCAACATAATTTTCAAAGACTCTCTAGATCAAGCCGGCTTCAAAGAGTCCAACATCACCAAAAGGTCTACGGTCCTGGTCGGGTTCAATGATGAACCTATGAATTCCCTAGGAGAAATCCAGCTACCTACGCTGCTCAAAGGAATCAACATGATGCACAAGTTCTACGTGATAGACTGCAAAATTGCTTATAACGTGATAGTAGGAACCCTTTGGATCCATAAAATGAAAGTTATCCCATCTACCTATCACCAACTGCTCAAATTTCCAAGCCCGTGGGGAGTGGCAGTAGTCGAAGGAGACAGGAAGCAAGCGCGGGAATGCTACCAGCTCGCCCTAAAACCCCATGGCCCCGCCATCTAGCAATTACAGAAAAATCCAGCACCCAAGCGCCCAGACGAGCTACAATTAGATGAAGTCGTGCTGGATGAATCAAAGACGGAGCAAAAGGTTAAAGTCGGAGCTGCATTAACAATGGATCAGAAAGAAGCTATCATCAAGTGCCTCAGAGAAAATTCAGATTGCTTTGCATGGTCGCACCAGGATATGATGGGAATCCATCCTGAAATCATCACTCATAAGCTGAACGTGGACCCCAATGTAAGGCCGGTAAAGCAAAAAAGGAGGAAATTTGCGCCAGAGCGCAATCAAATCATTAATGAGGAAGTCCAGAAGCTGTTAGATACCGGGAAAATAAGGGAAGTCAAGTACCTAGAGTGGCTAGATAATGTGGTCGTCGTCAGCAAGAAGAATGGAACCTAGAGAGTCTGCATCGACTTCACAGACCTGAATAAGGCATGCCCCAAAGACCCGTTCCCTCTCCCTCATATAGACTCAATGGTAGATGCAACAGCTGGCCACGAGCTCCTCACTTTTATGGACGCATATTCCGGCTAAAACCAGATCTTAATGCACCCAGATGACCAAGAGAAGACGGCTTTCATGACAGATAAAGGAATTTACTATTACAAGGTAATGTCGTTCGGTCTGAAGAACGCAGGTTCAACCTATCAAAGGCCAGTCAACAAAATGTTCAAGGACCAGCTGGGGGACACCATGGAGGTATACATCGATGATATGTTGGTAAAATCCAAGAAAGCAGCTGATCATGTGACCCATTTAGAAGAAACATTCAACATTCTCCGGAAGTATGAAATGAAGCTGAACCCGTCCAAATGTTCGTTCGGAGTAGCTGCAGGTAAGTTTCTGGGCTACATAGTCACCCAGCGAGGAATCGAAGCCAGCCCAGACCAGGTACGCGCTATAATAGATATTCAATCACCTAGAAACTTGAAAGAGGTACAAAAATTAACAGGTAGAGTAGTTGCATTAAATAGGTTTATTTTGAGATCATCAGATAAATGCCACCTATTTTACAACGTCCTAAAGAAAAATAAAGGTTTTAATTGGTCTGATGATCACGAAAAGGCCCTACAATGCAAGACCTCAAACACTATTTAATGACGCCACCATTATTATCTAAACCTGCTAAAGGAGAGTCTTTGCAGCTTTACCTCGCAGTCAGCACCCAAGCTGTTAGTGTTGTCTTAGCAAGGGAGGCTGAAATTCAGCAGTTACCTGTTTATTATGTGAGCAAAACTCTCCTCAGTGCTGAAACCAAATACTCCTCTCTTGAAAAACTGGTTTTAGCACTGATCGTAGCTAGCAGAAAACTTCGCCATTATTTCGAAACTCACCCAATAGTGGTGAAAACTAACTATCCTGTGAAGGTTGTTTTGCGTGGACCAGAGTTAACAGGTCGAATGAGAAAATGGGCAATTGAGCTCAGTGGGTTTGGTATAACATATGAACCAAGAGCAGCTATCAAATCTCAAGCATTGGTCGACTTTGTGGCCGACTTCAGCCCTGATCTTGAACAACAAGCAGCCTTGGAATCTGAACAGATCAACCAAATCCGTAACCCAGATACCTGGATACTCTATGTCGATGGATCATCTAACTTTCGAGGTGCAGGTCTCGGTGTTGTGCTGAAGTCGCCACAGGGGGATATGATAGTGCAAGCTATTTGTTGTAATTTCAAAGCTACTAACAACGAGGCAGAATACGAGGCTTTGATTGCAGGTATGAATCTCGCAACAGACCTGGGTATTACTAACTTGCAAGGATTTTGCGATTCCCTCCTGGTAGCAAGTCAAATGAACGGAGAATTTACAGCTAAGGATTCCAAAATGGTTCTATACCTAGACTTCGCCAAATCCTTAGCAACCAAATTCTCAACCTTCACCATAAAGAAAATACCTAGGGACAAAAACACACAAGCAGACGCCTTAGCCAACCTGGGATCAGCCTTAAGAAAATCAAAATTCTCCTCTATCCCCTTGATCCACCTGCTAGCTCCCGCCGTTGATACAACCAACCACCCATCTAAATCTAGTGTCCCAAAACCTGTAAAACCCGAACCAGACAATCCAGAAACATCCATCCCTAAATCAAACCAACCCGTTAAAATCGAACCTGAAGAACCTAACCTTGTTGCACCTGTGACCAACCTAACCAACTGGACACAACCTATATCTGATTACCTAGAGCACAACACATTACCAGAAAGCAAAGCAGAAGCAAGGGCACTCAGATTTAAAGCCAGCAGATACACGATCATCCAAGGTGTACTATTCAAAAATTCCACCAAAGGTATCTTGCAACGCTGCATAAAAGAAGAGGGCTATGAGCAGATCCTCAAAGACTTTCATGATGGAGAATGTGGAGCCCATTCAGCTGGAAGAACCTTAGCCAACAGAATACTCACCTATGGGTACTACTGGCCAACTTTGCGAGAGGATGCTAACAGGTACGTACGAAAATGTGATAGCTGTCAGCGACACTCAGGTATTACTCACAAAACCTCTATGCCTTTGCATCCCACTTTGACACCATGGCCTTTCATGAGATGGGGCATGGACATATTAGGTAAATTACCTCCCTCCCCAGGTCAGAAGGTCTATATGTTGGCTATAACAGATTACTTTTCCAAGTGGATTGAAGCTGACGCGTTTCAACAGGTTAGAGACAAAGAAGTTATCAACTTAATCTGGACTAATATAATCTGCAGGTTCGGAGTACCATCTGAAATAGTGTGTGACAACGGGTCCCAGTTCATAAGTGCCCCAACCAGAAACTTCTGCGACAAATGGAACATCACACTAGCCACCTCTACACCCAGATATCCTCAAGCAAACGGACAAGCCGAATCCAGTAACAAAGTCATCATTGGGTCCCTAAAAAAGAAGCTAAAGGATAAGAAAGGTAGGTGGGCAGAAGAGCTTCCAAGAATCCTATGGGCCAATAGAACCACAATAAGAACCGCCACAGGTCAGACGCCTTTCTCACTGGTATACGGATGCGAAGCTGTACTACCTACGGAAGTTACCACCCCAACAGCCAGGTACGGCTTGATGACGCCAGAGCGCAATAACGAAGAGCTATCAAACGACCTAGATACCATAGAAGAACGAAGGGACCTAGCTCGCATAAGGATAGCCACCTATCAGCAAATGGTAGCTAGAAGCTTCAATAGAAACGTCAGAGCCAGAATGTTCAAAGTTGGAGATTGGGTTCTAAGGAAAGTTTTCCAAAATACCCAAGAGCTCAACGCAGGTAAGTTGGGGGCAACCTGGGAAGGCCCATACCAAATTGTAGAGGTCATAGGCAAAGGGGCCTACAAGTTAGCTACAACGAACGGTAAGTTGGTACCCAGAAGCTGGAACGCAGCACACTTGAAACTCTATCACTTTTAAAGTCTTCGCAAAAAAAAAAAAAAAAAAAAAAAAAAAATTCTAAGTCACCGGTGCTAACTTAAGCTTTGGAGGGTCGTTGGTGGCAACACCAACGACCAGCTCTAACCCGTCGTTTTGCAGAATCAAAGAACCAAAAGAGGATAACTAAAGACTACCTGAAAAACAGCAAGATGACGCAAGGAGCAAAAACGTTCAATGAGCAAAGCAGCTAAGGGCCTAAGCGCCAAACACCGCAGATTCACAGAAACAAAGACCAAGGACAAATAACATACGCAAGACAAAGAAATCTAAGGTACCAAACGGTTACTCAAAAGAAATTGATATGCAATGTTCAAACAGCAGAAAATGAAAAGTTCAAACCCTCGCTCCCACGAGCGAGGTAAAACAAAGTTTAAAAAGAGCAAAACATTATTTTAACAACCGATATCAAAAGTCTAAAGAAACCAAAGCATCATAGATCAAGCATCAGGTAGCTGCTCATCCTCCTCAATCCTTCTAGGTGGGGACTCGAGCTGATGACCTGGAGAAGACTCGGCAGTAGACTTCGTGGCCTCAGGTTCTGCATGGTCAGCTTCGCCAGATGCCAAGTCCGTGATATAGCCAACTATTAGATAATCATCAACAAGCTGTCGAAGTTTCTTCACACCTGAGTCCCCTTCAAACTTCTTCAGCAAAAAGCTATTAGCCATGTAGGCCTTAATCCTCAGAGTAACCTCAGCCTCAATGTTCTTGTTCTCATCCTCTAGGTCAACCAACTTTTTATATAGATCTGCCGCATCCTTGTCCTTCTTACTCAACTCCTCATCCTTAGCTCGTAAAGCATCCTCTTTCTTCTTCATCTCCTCCTCAAAATGCTTCTGCTTACCCTCTAGCTACAGGTTGACATCCTCTACCTTCTTCTTAGCCGCTTCTACCTGAAGTTGTAACATCTTTTTAGCTTTGTCAGACTCTAGCAACTTCCTCTCCAAGCCATCAAGCCGAGACTTAGAATACAAAATGTTTTGGAAACCCTGTTACACCAACCAAGCATCTAGTTAGTATGTACCTATCTAGAAACTGGTTAAACAGAACTAGTTCAGAAACCGTACCTATTGAACTAGTTGAGCCCCGTCAGCTAGAGCCAAAGAACCATCCTAACTCGCCAAGCGCTTGGTAGCTGCTGGAAACAGGAGCTTCTGAGCCTCTGGCCAGATCCCATTACTCGTACCTTCCCCAGCCAAAAAGTCAGGAGGGAAACTGACATCGTGGGTATCCGGGATAATCACAGCCCAACAGGAACACTAGACCTAGTGCGAGGAATCCTAACCTCTTCCCTGTTGGAAAGAGTCCTAGAAGGACTATTTTCAGCCCGATGAGTAGTAGTATCAATCGAGCCACCTGTTGGGCTGTCACCTCTCTTCCTTTTGGCACGTTGTAGTGCCTCTTCCCGAGACATGATGACACTCTTCCCTGGTACAACCAAACAAACACCACTCCATAAACACAATACACAGAACCATATTCCAAGCAAACCAATAAACACAAAAGCTATACCTAAAGACATAGAAGCACTAGCAGTAGTAGCAGAAGGAGTAGGGAGATCGCCTGTAACTTTCCCAGGAATTTGAT